GCAATGAAGCCCATTAGTCAACCCACACTAAAAATGGAGAATAGTCAAACCGGGAACTTCTTTTCCAGACGGATGGAGTAATTAATATAAGAATGAAAATCTAGAGTACTTGAGCCAGAAGTAACAAAAACAGAAACATAGAAAACATCTCGTGCTTAAGTTGGATTTCAAAAATAGAACTCGTAATCAAAATTATATATCTCTCTGAAAGATATGGACAAACAGCCAGATTCAATCGCAAAGCATAGTCTCTTCTAAATAATGTGTGGTGTTACTTAAACAAAAAAGAAACAAAATCATAAACCTTGAAAATATATGTTACTTCAGCCAAACTTTAAAAATAGAACCCATAAAAAATTATACCATCCATTTTATGTTACTGTGATGTATCATCATTTGAATCAATTATGTTTTTTTTCCGTTACCATGAATGTCTCCTAACAATCATCTCTACCATTTTTTATTTTCAGAAATATCGATGAACTCTTACTCTTTTGGGTAGTGGATCTGCTACCAGTGTTGATTGCTGTGAAATTTAGGGTTTTAGTTGTGTGAGTTTCAGCTGAAGGTGATGGAGGACTGGTTTTCACTTTCCCTGGCTTCATATTGTTGTAATGGTCATGGAGACTAAGGCTAGGGTTTATTGGTGGTAGGATGGAATTTATGTAGTTGATTATGGTCATGCTCTTTAATACTCAGGGTACTTGTTTTTCAATGCCCTATTGGGTTTCTTTGTGATGATCCTATCATTTTTTTGTTCAGACTTCAGATCTTGCCAATTCACCTTAGCATACCAGAGCTTTGGCTGAAGTTACAAGTCTTTCATTTTCTGGCTGCTGCTTAGGGAAAGTTTAATTATAAATCTTTTTCCACCAAGCACTAACTTACTTACTTACTACATGTCTACAAGCATCTATTGTGTTGTGCTTCGCTAAATTGGTTGATATACCTTAGACAAAATTACTGAAGTTGATGCTTCTTTAGTTTCACAAATTACTTTCTTTAAAGGACAGCCCAGTGCACTGTGCACAAAGCGTCCCTGAAAGCGGGGGTCTTGGGTAGGGTCCCATCACAACTCACAAGTGTGTAATGTGTGGGCAAACCTTTCCTTGCAGTTTTGCAAGAGGCTGCTTCCAAGACTTGAACCAAGCCTCCCCACCTCCCCCTCTCACTTTCTTTAATTTTGTTAAATAAATGCTCCGTATTGTAAATATTGTTTTTAGATTATTTAGAAGATTCAGTCATTTCACCTAGATATTCAATCAACCACCTCAACCGTTTAAAGACATACTCCCTCCATTCTTTTTAAATGTCCATTTCGCTTTCCATGTCAAACATCTGTCTAATAATATCTCTTTATGTATATATTTATAAAGAATTATGAAAATGATATATTTAAAGAAATTTTACATACAAATGTTATGGTATATTTTTTGTATTTCAACTCATTGTATATTTTCAAATATAGAATGGAGGGAGTACCAAAGTATAATCTCCCCTTATTTTTCCTTTTACTGTACTGTATTATTTGTGTGTGGACTGTGGAGTGGGGTGGTGTATTATTTTCTTGCAAGTGGAGAAAAACCTTTGATGTCAACGAGGTTAGATTTCTGTGTTATTGTTTCTTGTTAAGAAGGTTGCGAGTCTTGTGTGGATATATAAGGGAATCAAGTGTAAAAATTTACTATTATGGTGTTAGCTAATTTAATCAATCAATTTATGAAAAAAAATTACTTACAAAAAATCAGAAAATCATTGGGATTGAGTCCATTACCATATATCCTCTAAGATAATCGATTAGATCCAGCGCAATTTCTCAGGTTTCAACTCTTAATCGATTATTTCTTCTAAGAAAATCGATTAGCTTGGACAAAACTTCCTAATCGATTTGTTACTTCATTTTAATCGATTTATAAGCTTTTCGGTGGGCTGCTCTACTTTGAACAATAACCGATTAATTCTCATCAATTAATCGATTAGTTCAAACCGAACCTCCTAATCGATTATTTGTCTTCATTTAATCGATTATGATTCTGTTTTCTTTTCAGGCTATTTCGCTTCTGTGTACCGTAATCGATTTAACCTCTTACATTAATCGATTAATTTTTATCTGGTGCATATTCTCAGCCTGCTCCAACGGATTTATTTTCACTCAGCCTATTTAAACCCTCATTCTCCTTCTTCTCCACACCTCTCTCTTGCACTCCAAATACTCACTGAGCCATTGTCATCCCTTGCTTCATCTTCCTCATCAAAACATTATTTTTGAGAGTTAGAAATATTTTCTTTGAGTGCTAAAAGAAGTTGTCATCCATAGAGCTTTAATTCTTCAAACACTACTTTGCTCAATTGTGTGAGCTTTCATTCTTGTGTTGTAAACTCAATCTCATTTGAGTGTTGTTCTTAAGACTTGTGTGACTCAAGTCTTGTTGTTGTAAGAAAGTGAGGCTTGTGTGATTCAAGTTCTCAAGTTGTACCGGTTTTTCAAGCACCCGTTGAAGCTTGAAGTTTAGTAGGACTTTGGAGAGAGTCTCTCGGAGGACTGGACTAGCCACGAGGTGGTGAACCAGTATAAATCTCGGTGTTCTTCTTTCCCTTACTCTCTTTATTTATTCCTGCGATTTTATTATTTCACACACGCGAAAAACGCACATTCTTGAAAACAACTCTATTCACCCCCCCTCTAGAGTTGCACACTTGTCTAACAATTGGTATCAGAGCAGGAAGTTCTTTGAATACGTTATTTTTTAGGAACTAAAAGATCAAATGGCATCAAGGATGTTCAACGCAGGAGTGACCGAGGGACAATCAACCACGAGGCCACCTTTGTTCGATGGAACAAACTACTCGTATTGGAAGGAGAGGATGAGAATCTTTATCCAATCCAACGACTACAAGCTGTGGTTGATTGTGAAGAACGGCTGTGGAGTCCCGATGAAGAAAGTCGGTGAAGTCAACGTCCCCAAAATCGAAGAGGATTTCAACGACGAAGATTGCAAAAAGATGGAGCTCAACGCAAAGGCAATAAACATGATTTATTGCGGTGTTAATGCGGATGACTACCGCAAAATCTCGCGGTGTGAAACCGCAAAACAAACGTGGGAGAAATTGGAGGTCACCTACGAAGGAACCGCGCAGGTTCGGGAGGCCAAAATTGACCATCTTACTCACGAGTACGAACTCTTCTCAATGAAGGAAAACGAGAAGATTGAGGAAATGTTTGAGAGGTTCTCTAACATCATTAATCCTCTCAATCTTCTCGGGAAGACCTACACCGACCGAGAACTCGTGAGAAAGGTGCTGCGAAGCTTATCTCCCAAATGGCGTTCAAAGGTGGACGCAATCGAAGAAGGTCGTGACTTCCAAACAACGACCTATGATGCTCTTCGAGGTAATATTATTACCTACGAAACCACCCAACTCTCAAAGGTGGTTGAAGAGAGGAACAAGAGGTCTATTGCTCTACCCGCAACAACATCAACCCACAACAACGTTGATGATGAAGATGATGACAGCGACGACACCGACCTCGGACTCTTTGTCCGAAAATTCAAGAAGATGATGCTCAAGAAGGGACCCAAGAAAAACACTCCACCCAAGTGCTATGTGTGTGGTGAAATTGGGCACATCAAACCAATGTGTCCGAAGCTCAAGAATGAGAAAGACAAGAGGGCACCGAAGAAGCAACGTGCCTATATTTCTTGGGAGAACGACGGCTCCGGGAGTGAAGACTCGGAAACGGAGGAAGTGGCCAACTTGTGTCTCATGGCCATTGAGGATGGTGAAACATCAAAAGAGGTAAGTGATCAAGAACCTTCTCCCAATGAGCCTTTAACTCTTAATGATGTTGTTTGTATTGTAGAAGATTTAGTAGGAATGTTCAAAAAGGCTTCCAAAGAAAATAATGAAGTTAAACAAAAAATCCTGATTTTTGAGAATGATGTAAAGGAACTCAAAAATATAAATGATAAACTTAAACAAGAAATTATCTCTTTTGGAAAAAGGCCACAAGAACCTTCAACCACTTCTTCTTCTACATGCTCTAGTTGTACATCACTAAAAGCTAAGGTTGCTAGTTTAGAGAGCAAATTGGGAAAGTTTAATAATGCTTCAAACACATTAGATAAGATACTTAAGCAAAAAGTTAGTAATGGTGAAGGACTTGGATATAAGAAAACCAACCTAGAAAAACAACTTTTGTTAAAGCTAGGGGGAACAAAAATGCTAGGATAAATAATCAAACTAGAAGAGCACATCCTAGCAAACCTAGAACTCATTACACTCAACCATATAGGATGAATAATCCAAATGTTATTTGCCACTATTGCAATAAGATAGGTCACATTGCACCCGTGTGCTTCACCAAAATTAGGCATTTCCAACAAACGCACACACATCACACATATGCTAACCAAAAAGGACCCAACAATACATGGGTACCTAAACCGTATCCTTGATATCTTTTTGTAGGTGTGCTTGAAGGCTTCGAGTACCTCTTGGTATCTCGATAGCGGATGCTCCAAGCACATGACCGGAGACGCATCCAAATTTAGGAGTTTAGAGTATTTCAAAGGTGGTAATGTTGTTTTTGGTGACAACAACAAGGGAAGAATCATTGGAAGTGGCACCGTCGGGAGAGACAATGCTACAACCGTTGAGAACGTTCTTCTTGTTGAGGGCCTCAAGCACAATCTTCTTAGCATTAGTCAATTGTGCAATAGAGGTCACCGTGTCATCTTTGATTCTAGTAAATGCATCGTAGAACGCTTGTGTGACAATATGACTATTCTTTGTGGTAGTAGAGTAGATAACATTTACATGTTTGATCTTGAAAATTCCCCATCTATCTTAGCTAAGTGCCTCATTACCAAAGAGGAAGAAACGTGGCTATGGCATCGTCGGATAGCTCACGTTAATATGGACCATCTTAATAAGTTGGTTTCTAAAGACTTAGTAATTGGTGTTCCTAAACTTAAGTTTGAGAAGAATCTAATTTGTGATGCATGTCAAATGGGGAAGCAAGTAAGGGCCTCGTTTAAGTCAAAGAACGTTGTTTCTACGACTAGGCCGTTACAACTTTTGCACATGGACCTTTTTGGACCTTCAAGAACTATGAGTTTAGGAGGTAATTACTTTGGCTTTGTTATCGTTGATGACTATTCGAGGTTTACATGGACACTCTTTCTAGCTCATAAGTATGATGCACTTAATGCTTTTAAGAAATTCATTAAATTGGTTCAAAATGAAAAAGACTCTCACATTGCATCCATTAGAAGTGATCATGGGGGAGAATTTGATCAAGACGGCTTTGATGTCGTTTGTGACGAATTAGGCATTGAGCATAATTTTTCAGCCCCCCGTACACCACAACAAAATGGCGTGGTTGAACGGAAAAATAGGTCTCTTGAAGAGATGGCTAGAACTATGCT